GAGTGTTCCTCTCTCTCCACATCCTCTCCAGCATAAATTGTCTTCGGTGTTGTTGATTTTAGCCATTCTGACAGGAGTAAGATGGTATCTCAGAGTTGTTTTGATTTGCATTTCCCTGATGGCTAAAGATGTTGAGCACTTTCTTAAGTGTCTCTTGGCCATTTTAGCCTCCTCTACTGAATTCTCTATTTAGCTCTGTACCCCACCTTTTAATTGGATCCTTTGGTGTTTTGGAGACTTGTTTCTTGAGTTCTTTGTAAATTTTGGAGATTAGCCCTCTGTCAGATGTAGGGTTAGTGAATATCTTTTCCCATTCTGTGGCCTGCCTTTTTGTCTTTTTGACTGTGTCCTTTGCCTTACAGAAGCTTTTTAGTTTCAGAAGGTCCCATTTGTTAATTGTCGATCTCAGTGCCTGTGCCACTGGTGTTATGTTTAGGAAGTCGTCTCCTGTACCAACTCGTTGAAGAGTATCTCCCACTTTCTCTTCTAAAAGTTTCAGTGTGGCTGGATTTATGTTGACATCTTTGATCCATTTGGACTTAAGTTTTGTACAAGGCAATAAACATGAATCTATCTGCAGTCTTCTGCATACCAGTACCCAGTTATGCCAGCACCATTTGTTGAAGATGTTTTCTTTTTTCCATTGTACAGTTTTAGCTTCTTTGTCAAAAATCAAGTGTTCATAGGTGTGTGGGTTAAAATTAGAGCTTTCGATTCGGTTCCATTGGTCTACCTGCCTATTTTTGTGCCAATACCAAGCTGTTTTCAGGACTATAGCTCTATAATAGAGCTTGAAGTCAGGTATGGTGATGTCTCCTGAAGTTCCTTTATTGTATAGGGATGTTTTAGCTATCCTGGGCCTTTTGTTTTTCCATATAAAGTTGATTAATGTTCTTTCCAGGTCCTTGAAGAATTGTGATGGAATTTTGATAGGGATTGCATTGAATCTGTAGACTGCTTTTGGCAAGATTGCCATTTTTATCATTTTTATTATGTTGATCCTACCAATCCAAGAGCATGGGAGATCTTTCCATTTTCTGGTATCTTCTTTGATTTCTTTCTTTAAAGACACAAAGTTCTTGATATACAGGTCTTTAATTTCTTTGGTTAACATTATCCCCAAATATTTGATGCTGTTTTTGGCTATTGTAAAGGCTGATGTTTCTCTGATTTCTTTCTCAGTCACTTCATCATTTGTATATAATAGGGCCACTGATTTTTTTGAGTTTACCTTGCATCCTGCCACATTGCTGAAGGTGTTTATCAGCTCTAGGAGTAACCTTGTGGAAAAACAATGGAATCTTGAAATTCGCAGGGAAATGGATAGCACTGGAAGAAACCATCCTGAGTGAAGTAACCCAGTCGCAAAAAGACAAACATGGTATGTACTCACTCATATGCGGATTTTAGACATGGATCAGGATAGTGCCAGTCTGCACTTCCACTGATAGAGAGTCTGGGAAACAGGAAAGAACCTAAAAGATATGCATATATGCATAGTACCCAAGAGAAGAGGATGGAGACAAGATCCCCTGAATGGATGGGGAACACGGCGAGGGGTGGGGGGAGTGGGACCTGGGAAGAAGAGAGGGGGTGAAGAGGAAGAGAGTTGGTCATGGGGGAACAGGAATTTGAGGGAGTGGGGGTAGAATAGGGGGAAGAGGGAATCATAGGATCGAATACAGATCAGGCACCAGAGCGTCCTCGAGTGATCTAAAGGGATAACACCAATTGGCAAGCTAAGCAATAGTGGAGAGACCACCTCGAATGCCCATTCCTGATAATGAACTTGATGTCTATAACCATCTGGGAGCCTTCATCCTGTGACTTATGGAAGCAGAGGCAAACACACAGTTAATCACTGAACTGAACCCAAGGAACCCAGTGACAGAGAGAGAGGAGTGATGAGCAAATTGGCAAAGAATGGGCTGGCAAAACCAGCAGAGACAGCTGATCTGAACAGGGGAGAGCTCTTGGATCCCAGACTGACAGTGGGGAGGCCAGCATGGGACTGATCTGGACCCGCCAAATGTGAGTGTCAGCGAGAAGGCCTGGGCAACCTATGGGGCCCTGAGCTGTGGATCAGTGTCTATCCCTGGTATACAAACAGTCTTCGTGTGCCTATAGCACAAAGAGGGATGCTCTCTCAGCCTAGACTCTTAGGGGAGTGCCTGGACCCTACCCAGAGTAAAATGACAGACTCTAGATATCCCCTATGTGGAAGAATTTGGCAATAGGGTGGGAGGGTGGGGGGTAGGGGAGTGCGGGAGGAGGGGAGGGAGAGGGAACTGGGATTGACATGTAAAACAAGCTATTTAAAATTAAAATAAAAAATTTAAAAAAAGATAGCATATACTAGATTTGGATACCATTTAGATGCTATTGAATAAAATTTCTGTTTCTGTCCAAAATTTCCTCTTCAAGTCATGGACCTAGAGTGAATTCTTATTCTCTTATTTTGGTTTCCATTTTGAATGTTGGTACATCTTTTCTTTTTTAACACAAAAAGCAAAGTTCACTCACTTTGACACAGTTCATAGCTGTTAGTCTTCTACTTCTTCAATATGATTGACTCAGATATTTGACAAATAAACTGGTCTCAGGGATGACCTGGCAAAAGTGACTCCTTGGGTATTAGACATAGCATGCTGCACCCACATGGCTTAGGACGGTGATCAGAGATATGAACTAGGAGCATCTTCTCCATGCACAGACTGGACTCTCTGCCTGTCTCCTGCCAGCTGCTTTAAACAACTCAAATATTTAATGATTAATTTAAAGTACCCAAACACTATTTCTAAGTATACACTGATAATTGCCACACCCTAACATCTCTGCATTCCATTTGTAATGAAGGAACAGAGTCGGACTATCTGCCTGCCTGACACATTATATGCCTCCCTACTCATAATTGTTATGCAGTGAGTCTTTGAATTTGTTTCCTGTTTGAGTGGCATAAAATGAATTTGTGTCTTTCACCTGAAGAATCTGGAGCAAACAACTCCAAGTTGTGTTTTCCTTAAAACTGTGGGAAAGCACAAGGTTGAGAACATTGTTCAGGCGGGCAGGAACTAGACATGGACTGGTGAGGAGCCACAGGGTTGGAGTGGGCCATCTGTCAGTATAAATACATTTCTTGTACGAGATATTTCTACACCATTCTGGCCACTAAATAAAGTGGGAAAGGCATACTGCAAAGGGTCCACTCATGTTCCTTTCTTTTCTCCACGGGGCAGGACTGCTAGGTGTTATGTTATTACAGCACCAACACAGTCAGGAAATCAATCTCAAGGGCAAAGCCAAATGTCCGTTCTCCACTCCTGTGTGATGTGCAGTAGTTTTCTTGAACTAATATCACAACTCTGCTCTTTATACCTCTCTCCCAGCCCTGACCCTCCCATGGCATGCCTGCCTCAGGAAATGATGACTTGATTTGTCTCACCATTCAGACTGGAAAATTTGCAATCATCTTTGACTGCACTCCATTTCTCACATCCCATATCTAATAACAAATGCTGTCAAGCCTATACTAAAGTCATCCAGTATCTGTTAATATCTCACCATTTTCTTCCCTTCTCATGGCCTAAGCCATTACCAACTCTTGCCTAGATTATAGTAATAGTATGTTTTGACATTTCAGAAATGATTCCTCACACAGCAGCTAGAGTGGACCTGTTAAAATGTTGGTCAGAACGCATGCTCATATGCCCCTTTGCTCAGAAATACCCAGTGACTAAAGGTTCACATCAGCCTAATGTAAGGTCTGAACCACTTTTGGCCCCCAAATATGCACTTCAGATTTTACTATGTACACCTTGTTTCTACTCTAGGCATCTTGGAATTCGTACCAGTGTCCATCAAAAGACCCATTTATGAGTTCCTGCTGTAGATAATTGATGCACAGAGGGCCTTCTATATAAAAAACTCTCTACCAAAGTGAAATGGTTTCATCTGTTTCAACCATTGTGAAGGACCTGTTCAAATAACACTTTTCTGGAGAGCATTTCTGTCTATAGTAACAAATTCTCCCCCACTCCAAGGTTCTCATTGCATAGGCTTTGACCTCTACTCTCTATTATCTATCAGATGTCTGTCTGTCTGCCATCTATCTATCTCTATGTAATATATGTATATGCTTATCTATTACAGTATTTTCCAATAGAACTTTCTAAATGTTCTTTTTCTGGGTTGTAGAAGAAGGTAGTTATTAGTCATACAGAGTCATGCAGTACTTGAAACATAGCTAATGTGACTGAGGGAATGAATATTTAACGTTATTTCATTTCAATTAATTTAAGATAAATGGTTACATGTAGGTTTTGGCTACCATAGGAGACTACAGATTTGATGTTCCTTTCCATATATACTCATATGCAGATTACATTAGGCTGAGAATTTTCCTGAAAATATGCCTGGCTACAAGAAATTCCTGTTGATTAGATGTACAAATGAACATATGAAGAAAATCTGTATATTATCATTTTATTTTACATTTTTGTTTTTACTTTATAAATGATCATATAAAGAAATGAGCTTTATTTTGGTGTTTTCATACATATTCCATTCTATATTATTTTTATTCATTCCCTGTGCCACCCTCATCTACTTTCCCACTTAACAGAAAGCTTGTATGTTAGGTACCCTCTTCTTTTGCTAGTAGTTAGAGATACAGTGGCATCTTGCTGAAGAATATGGATCTAAAAACAAATAGGACATGAATGCAGCAGTGTCTGATGGCATTTAGACGTTCAGTTTTGCTGAGGTTGACCTAGATGCCCTCTGTGGTCTTTTCCAACTCTGAGCTTACATACTTTTCAAAGAATTTCCTCCCTTACCAGGAAATGGCAGCACATGGTTTAAACAATTGATTGGACCAATATACCTTTACATCAAGTCCCTTGTCAATGACTCAGTGATATATAATTACTTCGCTGGAAAAAATGCAGACTCTCTCTCAAGTGGTGCCACCTTTACCTCAAGTCCCATACTCTGTGACTTACCAGTTTCTGGGTCACACAGCTGTTCACAGGCATCTGTCGTCCTCTGTCCACACAGGTCTCTCACCCATGGGGAGGTTGCATTGATCTGATAGTACAGGGACAGCTTGGCAGGGTTTAGCCAGTCAGAGATATCCAGGTAGCTTCCTTCACTCACCACGAAGCTGCTCCCTGTGGGTGAACAGAAAAATGTAGATACTTTCCCCAATTTCAGAGTCATTGCTGATGTTAAAGGAACAAAGGAGCTAATAATTCTTCCACAACTATGACAACTCATTTTCTTAAGAACGATTGAAGAACCTTTACCCTGTGTCATTGAGATGTCAAAAGTCAACATGAACTTGTTCAGCCTAGTATATAATAAGAGGATGAGGTTCAGGCCCAGACTTTGCCCTCATAGAACACTGACTTTGTGAAAGTTGCTTGTTTACTCTGGCCTTGGTTGCTTCATTTATAAATGGAAATATTAACGAGAGCCACATCAACTGTGAGAATGAAATAGATTAATGTAAGGTGTGAGGACTGTTCCTGACAGGTTCTGGTAAAAAAAAAATGATTAAATGTTAAATTTCAAAAGGGAAAGTGACTGTCCTTGTCACCCAGGACTCCCTTGGGAAAAGAGTGCACTAATGCTCACCATAGCCTCGTGGGTGATACCTATGTGCAAGATGAGAAACATGGAACCAAGGCCTATTTCCCCTAGTGTGTTTATTTTCTGTCATTGCTTTTGCAGTTGAAAATGAGGGTCTCACACATATTGAGCTATACTCTCAACCCAATTAATTTTATTCTGAAGGATATAATGAGATAGAAATGTATACAGAGGTAGACAAACACATAGATGAATTTTCAAGGAAATTGCCAAAACCTTTAAGGAAAGATACCACACACACACACACACACACACACACACACACACACACACACACACACACACACGAGCTCATGCACCGTTATACTAGGATTGGTAGCACATACCTATAATCACAGTACTCAGAAGATGGAGGTAGTGAGTTCCAAGTTAGTAAGATCTACACAATAAATTTCACGTCAGCCAGAGATGCAGAGGGAGAACACATCTCAAAAAGCAAGCAAGCAGTGAAACTAATAAGCTTGATGCTTGGTGTTTGGAGAATACAGGAGAGAAGCCAGGGGGACTGGGGTCAAAGGGTCATGTCAACTCCCACTAAAATGGCACCCATGAGTCACTTCCAGTTAGAGCTTTGAACATGGGCCTAAAAGCCAAAAAGACTGAAATTTATCTTTTTAATTGTAATCATCCAATTTTCCAATGAAAACATAAAGATGTTCATAGAAACTTCTGTAGGTCAAAAAGTCTCTAGCTTTCTAATCTATGAATTGAAATATGCTTCATTAATTTATAAGATATAACACATATATGTATCTATCTATATATACACACAGGTATACATTATCCATTTCAATGCAATTACTGTATAATTACCCAGTGACACACACACACACACATACACATTCTATACAAATTCACATATGTTTATATGTATACCCAATTGGAAGAAGCAAGAAGATCCCTCAGATTGGCTACAATAATATTGTAAGTGATGAACATATGTATGAAGCAAACATGCAAAGCAAAGGCTAAGCTTCAGAGAGTGAGAAAATATGAGTTTCAACAGGACTAAATGAGACTTGAAGAGTAGTTCTGGACTTGTGGTTGATCTATCAACCCGTGTCACAGGGGCCAGAAAATTCTGTCCTATAACTAATGTAACTAAGCTGTTCTACCCTGTTGGCTTCTCTTTATCACACCAGGGAACAACAATGATAACAACAGAAAACCTAGTTTTTTTTCCAGGGAAGAAATTCAGGATTTCTAAAGAGCATCTCAAGTTTTAAGCATCCTTTGCATCTAACAGGGGCTTCTGTCAGATTGTGTTAGACATTGTTCTTGATCTATGCTTGGGCTAATCTTGGATCAGATCATCTGCTGTGGTCCAGTGAAAAATGGTCAGAGAGGTGAGGTCACATGAAACCGTGCCTGGCTGCCTAAGCATCTGAGACCAAGGGCTAATGCTTATCTTCTTTAGCTCACACAGACACAGAATGTTTATCATTCTATAGACAGAGTTCCTATGTAAAGCACAGGCGGCAACACGATTTTCACTGTGAATGCCAGAAGCATCCATGTGAAACAGCAGGAGGACATGAGTGACATCAAGCTGAGATAAGGAAATGACCACTTTTGAAGTTGGCCCTAGAGTCCTTGGCAGCTAAAGGAAAAAAAAGAAGAAGAAGAAAGGAATGAGTCTGTTGGATTTCATATTTCAAACTTTTGGCAAGGAAAGCTATGCAAATCTATCTACAAAGCTGCATTTCCCCCACTGGAACAAAGCCCAAAAAGAAACGTGTCACATGGGTCCTTGAGCAAGGCACTACACATCAGTATCAACTGCAGATTTTTCTTTTAAAAAAGCACAGTCATGCTGTTTAAATGGATAATTCCTGTTTTATTCTCACTAAAGACTGAGGGATGGGTATTGAATTGTGTCCCAGGGCTGAGTTTGGTTAATCCCGCTGCTTCAGAAAAGCTGCACAGTGCTGTGATAAAGAGAACAACCAGCAAGATGTGAGTTCAGATCCTCACAGTAGTACTTCCTAGATGCATAACCTTGAGCAAGAAAACAGCCCCCGGCCTCAGTTATAACATGTAAACAGCATGGGTAGACAATCCCACCCCCCAGACACTGATATCAGGGTTACATAAGACAGTGCATCTGACTTAGGTCAGCACTGCCTGCAAGAAGTCTCAAAGGCAATCTCAAAATGGGGGTAGTTTGCTAACATGGTCCTGAAAGGGAGTGAGCAAAGTGAAATGGCAGGGAAGGAGAAGTTAAGTTGCCATGGGGATGCAGAAGAAGCCCTTCAGAGATTGCATGGGACACTCTGACAGTAGACAGTCCTTCATACTGGTTTCAAATCAAGACAAGCATTTGCACATCACATTGTTCAGTAAAGGACTATAGGCTATCTCTAGGAAGTGGACACAACCTTTGGTGAAACAGTTCTTCACAATGGAGGGTGCTTATCAATAAATACTCAGAGCAGCCAGTAATTAGGATCTTTGCAATTGGGAGAAGGAATGCTTTGGCAGTTAATGGAGATAGGACTGCTTTAGTGGATAACATTGCAAATCCACTAAAGCAGATAAACTCCTGGGTGCCTTGTGAAATCAACTCAAGGGAGCAATTTTATTATTTGGATTTCTTAGAAATTTCAAAACTCTACACATAATATCCACAGATTTCAAATATGAGAAATATGATGAGACTAGAAAGCATGTATAATAGGCTACTTGCTTTTGAAGGCTGAGGCTGTCAGAGATGACTGGGTCATGAAGACAGAGTTCTTATAACTGGGATTAGTGCCTTAATTAGAAAGCTGTTTAGAACAACAAGGAAGGAGGGCCTACATTGAACCAGGGGGCTGACCATTGCCCAACACCAAACCTGATAGTATCCTGATCTTGGACTCTCCAGACTCCAGAACTTTTAGAAGCACACTTGTGCTGTTCATAAGGCACTAGTGCTCTTGCATTCTGTTTAAGCATCATAAATGGACTAAGTCAGTTGGTAATCTTTAACATCTTTGAAATGGTATTTCATAGAGATGTACAGGCGTTTTGATGGCAGAGGGAAGCTACTACCCTTTGAGTGCCCTGTTTATTCATTCATGATATAAACGTGTTACTATTCTGCTCACAACAGTCTGGTGGTATAGTCATTCTTTTCTTTCACAGAAGAACGCATGAGGTACAAAAAAATTTATTCGACCTATTTGCATAATTACTCAGGGACAGAAGTGGAAGCTAACAGAAGAGTTTATACTTTCTAGAGCGGTGACCTTCAAGTATTTCAGGCTGTTTTGAGAAACCAGAACTTTGGTAGGATTGTCTTCTGAGGTCCTTTTACTCTTCCTCTAGAAGACTGAACACTCACTTTGATGCCCATAGAGCTAGAGGCACGTTCCCCTCCTCTGAGGAACTGAGTCTTCTTACAGGGGAACATTCGGAGAGTCATTAGTTCTTATCAATGCATCTCTTAGCAAAACACTTGTCACAATTTTAGAGATTGTCACAAATGTTAAAGAGAATTCATGCAATCAACTTCTATGTCTGACTACTGAGACCGTCAACTCATTTCTTCCTGAGATTGTGAAGTAGAAAGGCTGTCTTATTGGCCCAGATTAATTTTACTGGCACTCTGAAAAACCTAGACAATATGATTAGCATGTTAGGAATCGCAACACTTTCAAATGAAAACCCTAAACTTCACTTTCGTGGTTCCTGAGGGAAGTGACTCACTGTCATTGGCTTGAGATGTGGATGAATAAAAAGAATACAGACATGAGTAAAGGGGCCCTGTGTAGGGGAGGAAGCAGAAGCAGAGATCATATTGTATCAGAAGAAGGAAGCCTTCTGTGCTAAGTTCAATGGGTTCATTTGTCCAGTACTTAGTAAAGTCTTCCTCTTGTAAAACCATTTTCATAGAGACTGGAAAGTGAACTGGAGCCATATTGGAATATTGTGAGCAGGCCTTGTGGATTGGCCTTCAGCTTAAGCTGATAGGCAAGGATCAATCACAGGAGGTTCAAGAGGCAAAACAAAGAGCTAGCTGCAAATTTACCCAGTAGAGCTGAAAGCCATACCCGCCTCTCAGTCCAGTGTGAACTTACATATACCATCATTAATTCATTCATCTGTGTCTTTGGATGTGAACTAGTTAGTTAGTAAGCCTATACCAGACTTTAGTTGACTAAATATGGTGTGAAATAATTGCAGGGATGGACATCAGACATGCAATTCTGAGGCAAAGCTTGTGTGCCTATGCTTCTTTCCCTTTTACTTCATATTCTATCTAGATTCTTCATTTTTCAAAAACAAAGGCCATGCTTTGTTTAACTCATGATCCCCATAGTTCTTAGTGTGGGATGGATGTTCAGAAGACATTTGGATATGGGCAGGGTATCTGAGAAAAAAATACAAGGCAGAGTAAGGTGGGAGGATGTACTAGTAAGTTAAATGAGTGTCAAGCAGCTCTCTGAATAAATTGCCACATTTCTATGGGAATGAAAACTACATTGCAAGGAAATAAAAATGTGTTATTTCTTGTGTCTCATGTTTTCCTTATTTC